GAGGATCCGGAGGATTGGGGCCGCTCTTTTCCGGCTTTTTTAAAAGCTGGAAAAAAGCGGTGGACATTTTTATTTAAATGCCGCGGGGGATATTTAAATCCCCCGCGGATTTCCCTACGACGACTGGTGAAATTTACATGCCCCTTCCGGAAAAGGGGCCAGTGTAGACGTAGCCATGTAGTGTACAATGGAGTAAATACCTGAAGTCATTACAATGTAGATCTTGGAGCCTCTGACAGGTGATCCTGACTGGTTTGGCCAAGAGAGGCGATCAAGTGCTGGCACTTCAGCTGCCCCTCCCCACACTGCTGTGCACCTCCTGCCCTTTGCCTTGGAGCTGCCTCCCCCCCACCCCAGCAGCTCCTTCTTGCTGTGCAGGGCAGGGGAAGGAGAAGAGGGTGCTCTGTGTGCCTGTATCTTATCTCCACAGAGCAGAGTGGGGGGCACAGAAGGACTTGGGATGGAGCTTGCTGGCCCTGGGAGTGGTGCAGGGCCAGGGCAGGGGTAAGCCTGCCTTAGCGCTACTGCACCACTTACTGAGGTAAGCAGTGCCCAGCTGGTGCCCTAGTCCCAAGCACCCTAAACCCCTGCCCTAGTCCCGAGCACCTTTGCATCCAAACACTGTCCTAGAGCCTAGAACCCCCTCTGCCACCTCAACTGCCTGCCCCAAGCTCAGCTCAGAGCCCCTCTCACACTCCAGATCCTTTAATCCAAGACCACAGCCTGAACCCTAACCCTCTGCCCCAGCCTGATGAAAGAGAGGGAGGATGGGAGAGGGACGGTGGAAGAGTGAGCAGGGGTGGGGCCTCGGAGAAGGGGGGTGGAAGGAGTGAGCAGGGGTGGGGCCTCGGAGAAGGGGCACAAAGGAGGTGGGGCAGAGGTATTTGGGTTTGAGGTAGATCTTGGATTGCCCTTAAATTCAAAAAGTGATCTCATGCTTTAAAAGGTTGGAGACCACTGCTCTAATTGGTCACTATCCTGGATAGTCCCTGCACTCACAGGAGTTCTGCTTCCTGGTAAATGGCATTTTCCATCTCTTCTGGATTTTGGCAGCTAGAGCTGTTGATGGGAGGAAATTAGTCCTTTTCAGCTGCGTATAGTTTGAGACATAGAGGCATCTCATCTGTCAGAGAAAGACTGTTTTGCAGGGTGGGGAGAACTATTCTGGCTTTTCCTAACACTTCCTTCTAGTAGCAGAAAATGTTATTTTAAGTTTTTTTGTTTTAATTGTTTTAATTTAATTTTTGTTTAATTGTAACTTCTGTGTTAGTCATTTTATTCATTCTTTAATTGTGTTTTGACTTGTGGCAGGATGTTTCTCTTGTTTGTTTTCATCTTGTTACTAGCGTGGGAACTAAGTATAAGCACAATACCTCCTTTTGGTTGAGGGAGAAACTCTACATTTGAACTAGGCAAATGATAGATTTTGTAGTTCATTGGCAATTTTGAAAATGTAGGGTAAGTTCCTCAACCCAATTTTTTCTATTTTCACTGAAAAGAAAAACATTTTGTTGAAAATATATATATATTTGTATCTTAATTTTAAAACATTTTTATTTTTAAAAAGCAAAACTAAAGACCATTTTGAAATCATTTCCAACAAAATATTTTTAAAATCTCAAAACCAAATTTAAATTTTAAAAACACATTCTCAACAAAATTCAGCAAAATCAACTTGAATTTGTGAAACCTTGTCAAAACATTTTTTACTGAAAAAAGTTTCATTTACTTCTACTTTACATTAATTTATTATTTGCTGTGCCCAAGTATAAAAGAGCTGGTTAGTCAAGGTTTATGGCAAGGAAAGACACAGTCTTTTTGACCAATAAACCAGGAATTGATAACATGCCTCTAGCTTTCTAATACTAGGGGATATAGTGAGAGATCTTTGTTGTTAGTGATAGACAGGAGCTGTGTCCAGGGTGTTTATTCCTTTTAAAAGGCAAGTTATTGTATTGTGTTGCTATAGTTCTGATCACAACGTCTCAAGAGTTTTTCATATGGGCAGAAAAGCTAAAATTATCTAGTTTTTATTACAACAAATAATTACTACCCTCCTAAAGAAGCTAACCCTCTGCCCCAGCCACTCATCTAATAAATATTGAAGCAATTACAGGCACACTGTGATTATTAATTAGTTAATTCTACTCTGAAAATGCTGAAAGAGAGGGAGATAACTGGAAAAGCCTAGGAGCTGTGGATGGATGTGGAAGTTAGTTGATCAAAGTGACAAGACAGGCTTTACCTAAGTGTGTGGTGGTGGTGCCTGCAGCAGGGGGGTGCTCTGCACCGCTGAGGGTGTCTGCTCTGGGCAAATTGCTCAAACTCAGGGCTCCTTATAGCCCCAGACTGGAGACCTTCCCAAATAGGCCACAAACGGCCAGCCTGAAGCCTCACAAGCAAAACCCCTCTGACACCCCAGTGCTCTCCGTGCCCCCAAACAGCCCTGGGCCTAACACACAGGCGAGGGGTTTTAAAACCCAATCTCACCTACCCCGAACAAGTTCTGTCCGGTTCCAAGAAACCAGACACAGATCCCAGGTCAATTTACCGTCAGGATCTTACCCAGAAGACCACGCTGAACCAATCCTTTAGAATCTACAATCTAAAGGTGAATTACTAAAGGAAAGAAAAGCATGAGAGTAAGGTTGTTAAAGAAAATACATTACATGCATTGAATCATCCAGTTCTCAATACAGGCTCTTAGCAGAGATGTTATAAATTGCTATCTTAAAAGTCTCTGGTGTAATTCCTATGTCAGGATGGATCCACAATTCTTTCTGGCTCGTTGTTCCCTGCAAGTCTGCATCAGGGATCAGGAGCTAAAGTGAAGACCAGATGGAGGGTGCCACATGGCACTTATATACCTCCCTTGGCATCTTCCTGGCCAGAGCAGGTCACTGCAGGTCACATGGTCCAGTGACCTATCCTTGTGTCCCAAGTCAGCAACCATTATTCTGGCTGGCTTGCAGGTATCCTGACATTCCTCAGGTGTGTCTCTGACACGTAGAGATCTATTGTCCCTGGAGCCTTGCTAATTAGCATAGCCACTAGCTGAACATTCTTTGCCCATTGCTCTGCCGCAGACAGAGAACCTTCCAGCGTCAACACAGAGTACATAATTATAACTCCACATACAGACATTATACAAGTACATGAATAGCATATACAGAATCAGTAGAACATAAGATTTCATGTGATACCTCAGATGACCCCCTTTGTACAGACTTTTGGGACAGACACCCCCCATGGGTGCAACAGTGATCTCTAGAATCCAATAACGTGACAATGTAACAAGTGTGTAGGAGGAGTATTTGCTTTGTTTCAGTTAAGAAGAGGGATATTCAGCTAAAATCGGCTTCCGTACCTAATGACTGGAAGGGAGCCCAAGTGACACCAATATTTAAAAAGGGCTGGAGAGGCGATCCTGGCAATTACAGACGGGTAAGTCTAACTTCAGTACCGGGCAAATTAGTCGAAACAATAGTAAAGAATAAAATTGTGAAGCATGTAGAAGAACATAATTTGTTGGACAAAAGTCAACATGGTTTCTGTAAAGGGAAATCCTGTCTTACTAATCTGTTAGAGTTCTTTGAAGGGGTTAACAAACATGCAGACAAGGGGGATCCTGTAGATATAGTATACTTAGATTTTCAGAAAGCCTTTGACAAGGTCCCTCACCAAAGGCTCTTGTGTAAATTACATGGCCATGGGATAAGAGGGAAGGTCCTTTCTTGGATTGAGAACTGGTTAAAAGACAGGAAACAAAGGGTAGGAATAAATGGTAAATTTTCAGATTGGAGAGGGGTAACTAGTGGTGTACCCCAAAGGTCAGTCCTGGGACCGATCCTTTTCAACTTATTCATAAATGATCTGGAAAAAGGGGTAAGCAGTGACGTAGTAAAGTTTGAGGATGATACCAAACTGTTTAGGATAGTCAAGACAGAAGCAGACTGTGAGGGACTCCAAAAAGATCTCACCAAACTGAGTGATTGGGCAACAAAATGGCAAATGAAATTTAATGTGGATAAGTGTAAAGTAATGCACATCGGGAAAAATAACCCCAACTATACGTACAGTATGATGGGGGCTAATCTGTGCCTTTTCTCTTATACCCCTCCCTTCCCCTGCCCTGCCTTCCTCTCCCCTCCCCTGCAGACACAATAAATCCTACTTTTTGTTTTAAAATAATTAACTGGTTTTGTTTAATTGGGGTAAATGCAACTGGGGAGGGAACCTGGGAAGAGGGAGGGAGGGAAGTGGAAGGCAAAGGAGGAGGCGGGAGGAGAGGCTCAGGGATGGGGCTTGGACTGGCGCCTGCCTTGGGTGGTCCCACCACCGTTTGTGCAGGCGCCTCTGCGGCCATAGGGGTGCTGAAAGAGAAGGCAGGG